CTCCTTGCTATTGCTGGGGTGTGCAAGAAGGAGAGGTTCTGAGAGATCTGGAGCTCCGAAGAAGAAGGTGGGACAGGGGCCAGCAGGTGGCATGGTGGTTGAAGCACTGGACTCCCACATGGATGGCCACAGTTCGAGTCCTGAACCTGATGGCTCGCTTTCTCATTTTCCCTCTCTCTCTCCCTCCATGTCTCTCTCTGGTTAGATTAAAAAATAATAATAAATACAATTTAATAAATATATTTTAAAAAAGAAGAAGAAAGCAGGACAAAAGAAGGGGCCAGAGTCTGTCCCTGAGAGGGAGGGCAGAGTACCACCCAAGAGTGCCTCACCTGCCTGCATATGGCTGAGGATTTTGTTGCCTTCTGCCGTGTAAACACACTATACCAAGTCTCCGCACTTCCCTTACAAGCTGAAGGCCGGGAGAGTAAGCTAGTTTGTGCCTGGGGCTAAGGCCCTCTCCAGTGGTCATTGAAGGGTGGCAGAGTATGCCACCTCAAAGTATGCCATAAGGAAGGCTCTCAGTGACCAAGCCAGTCCATTAGTTACTGGCTGGGCTCCCTGGCCTCCCCAGGCATCACTCCTTCCCTTGGAAGTACCTGATGCAGAGGACATCCTGGGAGGGCAGGGTAGAGAAACTCAAATAGATGATGCAGGCTGCTCGAGGCCCTTCCTGACCCAGTTCTCCTTAGGAGCCTAAGGGGCAGTGTCAAATGGTCTTGGGAAGATCAGCTTCCTTTCTCACATTTCCTTAGGAGCAGGCAGGTAAAGTTCAGGCTTTCTCTCAAACAGATTCTTCTGCCGATGAATTTAAGTTCTTAAAACCCCAGCTGACTGGAGTTTCTAGCTACTTGGAGGGAAGGTTGAGATGAGGCTGGCAGAGGCCATCAGGACCTGCCCCTGTGACTTGATCTCCATCTACAGAGAGCATGCCTTTCTCTTTCCTCCCTTGTCAGTCTTCTGAAGGTCCCTGGCCATCCTTGAGCCTGGCATAGGTGGTAGCCTGCAGGACCAGAGTTTGATGGACAAGCTCCTCTGGACACTAACGTGGGCACAGTAGATGCTGTTCCCTGGCATCTCCTTCCTCCTGGTCTGGGTGGAAAAGTCTAAGCTAAGGCAAAGATGGAGCTGAATCATGGAAACATCACCCTTTGCATCCAGAAAAGAGGAGGTGGCAGGACAGGGAGAGCGGAGAATTTGCTCCTAGGCCAAAGTTTATATATATATATATATATATATATTAGAGAGATTTTTGCTATAGGGTGTGTGTGTGTACTGGAAAGACAGAGAGAAATAGAGAATAGAGGCAGAAAATGAGAAATCACCCCCCGCGGGGGATGGTCACGCCACAATTCCTTCTCCTCCATTCTCCTCTGAGGATTTTGGGCATGCATGCACAAGCACCGAGCGTGAGTTTAAAGTCACAGGTCCAGGACTTGAACTGTAGTCAGCCATGTGGGAGTCCAGCAATGTAACCACTATGCCACCTGCTGGTCCCCAAAGTTTATATTCTTAGAGAGGACGGAACCCTGGCTTGTGAAGGCAAAGCCTTTGACTCTCAGTGGGTTTTCTTTAGCCTCTTGGGTTTTGCTAATTCCGTCCTTAAGACAGTAAGGCCAAATCTGCCACCCACACAGTACACTGAGAATGTCACTAACCTTTTTTACCCCCAAACCTCAGGGAGCGAGATTCATCCACAACCTTACCAGGTTCCCTGGAGACCCAGAGCCCTTTCAGCCTGGGCTTGTGGGTGCTATCAGAAGAGTGGATCTCATTCCCCTAGTTCCTATCAGAAGCCAATGTCCTGATAAAGCTGCAATGGCACAGTAAAACCAAGATGTCCTCCCTGGAAGCCTGCCTTGGCAATGATTCCACAGGAGAGATACCAGTTTCTCCCTATGTTCTTAGAATAATTCTCCAAGAATGTCTTCAGAGTTCACAAAGGTTGAGACAACTGATGAACTGATGTGTCTACTGACAATTTTTACAATGAATCCCTTAAATTCCAAGCTGACTTAGACCCACTGGGAGAGGTGTATCTTGTCGAAGAAGATCCCAAGGTTGCATCTGTGTTCAGTAGGGAAAAGTGCTACGATTAATTAGCAGTGTCTATCACTGATGGGTTCCTGGAGAATGGTGGTATGTATGCTGTATTTTCCTTCTCCAGTATTGCACTGCAAACTTTTAAATTCTCACATGTATCACCTCATTTGGGTAGAACAATATTATAGTCTAGGAACAATGAAGATTATCATCCACTTACAAAAAGGAGCAACAGAAGCATAGAAGTTAAGTGTGCCTTTTCCTAAGTTACCCGGAACCAGATGACAATGGTGGTTCTGAACCTGATGGTCCAGCCAGAGTCAGGATTAGATTCCAGATGTCTGGGAGTCACAGGCCAGTATAGGGAAGACATTGAGATCAGGGAACCCTTGAGATGAACACACCAAAGCGTTCCCAGGTATTTGGGAAAAGAGTACTTAGTAAATCTTCTCTAGACTTGAAATTTGCTATTCTTTTTGCATGTATGTGGGATGCTGGCAGGAACAGTGTGTGGAAAGGGAGAGGGCTGCTCACGCAGGAGCCAATTGCCCCTCTAGTTGCTTGTAACTTTAAAAGTGGGCAGGCCTGGGCTCTGACTTGTTCCAATTTCATCAAATCAGTTAGGCACCCTGGGAAGAGAAAAGGGACTGTTTCAGAAACATCTGCAGGGAGCCACTCTGGACAGTGATTCAGTTACCATGGAAACCCACCTTTGGAAACTGCTTCAATTTCAGGAAAATAGCTACAAACAATAATAAGCATAAATGAAAAATGGTACACTGTTACTTCAAAATTGTACTTGTTATTAGATTTTGTGGGGTTTTAGGGGCTGAGACAGCCTATCTGTGAATGCAGCTCTGTCTGTCTGCAGGCCTAATGACATAGCCCACATCCTCCCCTCCCACCTCCCTAATCAAGTTTCTGAATGTGACCTCCAAAGAGGTATTTATCAGAGAAGCTAATATCTGAATTGCTAGGGGAAGGAGGATATCCTTGCAAATATTCAAACATTTGCAGAGCAGACTAGAAGGCAACATGGAGCCATTTGGAAGGGACTGTGAGCTAGGGCATGAGGTTGTTTCACAGCCTCTCTTCAACTGATGCTGAATTCACACAGGCCCAAGATGAAAATCTTTAAAGAAATCAGGCAGCAAGTATAACAGCTGAGCTGAGAATTTCTGTTCTAGTCCATTTTCAAAGACTCTGGTGAAAAAGACCTTATAAAGATGATCTGGCCTGGCTCCTCTCCCATGTGGTGTCTCCATTCTCCTGGCAACATCCTCACCAGATGATTACTGAGCACACTGCTGGACTAATAGTTACGACATTTTCCCTAACACTGAGCTGAAATCTACCTCCCTGTAGCTTCGACTCATGGACAAATAAGAACCTCCTTGGCAATGATAACCCTTTGGCTATCTGATCTTGATCCTTCTATGTTCTCCATGTGGCAGAAGTCAGAGATACACTATGGTCATTCCTCTGAAGGTACTCTCCAAGGGGAATGTCTGACCTGAAACCTAGACTGACAGCTTGCTAGTTGCAAGCTCCTAAGTCTCCCTTCAAAAATCACTTATGAGGGAACCAGCAGTTAGCGTAATGGCTATGTTGCTGGACTCCCACGTAGTCGACCGCGGTTCGTGTCCCGTACCCGGTGGCTTAAAACTCACGCCGGGCGCGTCTGCAGGCGTGCCCAAGATCCCAAGAGGAGAATGGAGGAGAAGGGATTGCGGCGTGACCATCCCCCCTGGGGGGTGATTTCTCGCTTTCTGTCTCTATGTCTTTCTCTCTCTGTCTGTCTGGCGAGCGCACGCGCCCTACAGTGAAAATCTCTCCAAAAAAAAAAAAAAAAATCACTTATGCAGGGGCCAGCAGGTGTCATGGTGGTTGAGGCGCTGGACTAAGGTAATGGCTGATAGTAGTTTGAGTCCCAGACCTGACAGCTTGCTTTCTCACTTTCCCTCACTTACACTCTCTCTCTGTCTCTCTCTGGTGAGTGCACATGCTCTACAGCAAATTAAAAATAAAATAATGATGAAGTTGGATGGATAGTTCTTTTTAAAAAATCACTTGTGTGTACACAGACTATACACTTTCAGATCATTACATTTATCCTGATACCCACTTCCTGAAAGCAGCTAAAGCAGGCAGGAGAAAAATGGTTATCTATAGTGTCTGCTATACCACTTGTCAGATTAGGTACTCAGTAAATGCTTCCTGGGCCAAAGAATCATCACTAGATGGATAAATAAAACCGAGGTTCAGAAAGGGTGGCTGACTTGCTGATGATTGCCCAGGTACAGTGGCAAGGCCAGGACTGAGGCACGAGCATCCTACATCACAGCCTCCCAGCCTCCCACAGGTAGTCGCTAAGCTCTGAGTCCCCAAGTCTTGAGCCTGTGTCCTAAATCTAGAGGCTGCTGGGTCTTTTTACCAGCCCAGGGACCATTCTCAGTGTGTGCTCAAGTCAGGCCTGACATGACAGCCCACCTGGGACGCCCCCTAAATCCCACCATGGAGACATAGAGCACCTATAAAATGATGAGGCAACCCAGTAGTTAGGGAGGTCTGAGGACTCCTAGAAAGAAGAGCATTTTGGTAATTGTCTATAGTCTGGATAGCTTCTGGGGCAAGGATCTGATAGTAACAATAACAGTCCACTGGGCCAGATCACTTACAGAAACTTACAGCAAAAAGGAAGTTACAAAGAATATCAACCAACTCTTTTAGATTTTTCATCAATGCAAATCCTGATGGAAGAGAAAGAGCATGCATCTATGAGAGAGAAAGCTGTCTTCTCTGCCAGGGCAGGGAACGACCTACCTCCCTGCAGACACCAGTGAACAGCAACAGCATGGCATTGGCTGGCGGGGGTGGGGGGGCAAGAAGGGACATGAGGAGGATGAGTGCTCTGAGGCCTCATAGGGGCTTCCTAGGGAGGGGAAAGGGCGACTCACCAGGCTGTGCATGATGCGCACACCATCCGGGTTCACTGTGAGTGCCTCCTTATACAGCTGCTTGGCTTCCTCTAAGCTGCCTTTCAGCTCGGCCAGCCGGCCCCGCATGTAGAGTACCGAGTGAGAGGTGGGGAAGAGGCTTGCTGCCTCCTGGATGCAGAAACCTGCTTCCTTGAGATGTTGCTGCTCCATGAACAGCTCCGCTGTGAAACCAGAAGGATAGTTGGAAGTGTGAGTGGTGAGAAGTCAGAGGCAGTGGCCTTTTCCCCGTATCTGACCATCAACCTCCAGAGTTTAGGAACTAGTCTTAGCTGGACTTACTAGGGAATGTGGTGGTAACAGCAGGTAATGGGTTCTGAGTGCTTATTCTACATTGGGCACCCTGCTGAGTGCCCCACACAGACCATCTCAGTCAAAGCTTACAGAAACCCTGTAGAACAGATACCTTTATCACCGCACTTTAGAGAGGAGTCACACAGAGGTTAAAATACTTCCCTCAAGCCATGGGGAGAGGAAGCATTGTAGGCAGGGTTTGTATTAAGCTATCTAACTTCAAAGCCTGGAGCTAAGAGCTTGTTCAGGTGACTCAGCCTTCTTTTTCAGTGTCCCTTCACCTCATTTGCTTATTGCGTGTCTAGGGGTGAGGGGGGGCTCTCCTCAGCCTTTCCATCTCTGAGGTGGAGGCAATGTGAAGAGCCAACTCCCCCGTGAGTGAGATTGGGATTAGGTGGGAGTCTGAGGAGTACCAAGTCATCCTGTATAGAAGGGTAGGAAGATGAGGGAGAAAAGCGGCTAAGGGAGTGCCTGCTGAGGGGCCAAATGGGGGCCAAACCATGTAGTGATGGTGACAACTACAGAAATCACCACTTGCACTTGGAGAGCTACCTGTGGGCCACACCCCAACTTTTGAAACATTTTCTTTCATTAATCCTCACAACTAGTCTTTGGAGGGAGGTAGGTACTATTATGGTCCCTACTTAAAAACACCAGGCTGAGGTAAAGACCTTGCCCCATTGCCTGTGCAAGAAAGGGCAAAGCCAGGGCTGGCTTCCCCAGTACTCTCTGGTCTCACTCCAAAGGGGATGTACCATTTGGGCCAGTAGACAGGGAAGAATCTGCCCTGGGCCAGATAAGTGGGAAATGGTGCAGTTTCTCCAATCCGAGCCAGCCCACATAAATGCACATTTCAAACCCACACTGCACAGGCACACGCCCGCAGCAGGCACTTTTAGAAATGCTGCTTGTCGCCCTGCAACCCACTCAGCCTTCTTTCAAAGCAGCCCCAGGCCTTGGCTGCCCCCTCCTGGGGCTGGTGCCTGCACTGAAGTCACAGAAGGACAGCAACTCAGGAGGGGTGCACAGACTGGCCTGCAGAGTCTGATGTATGATTTTGCCATGAGCATTTCCTAGGAAACACTGAGAGCTGAGGTTACACTAGTTCAGGTCATGTCTGTGATAGAGTGGATAAGAGACATCCCCAATAGAAGCTCCCAGAAAGAGGCGGAAAAGCTGGGCCCAGGCAACCTTTCTTCCTGTCCTGGTAAGTAGCAAGAAGGAGGCTTAATGAAGGCCTTTGCTATAGCACACAGTGCTTAAGGTCCCTGGCACAAACATTGTCCAAGATTTACTATGCAATTTAAGTATCTTGCCATATCCTAAAATATTAATTAAGCAAGGGTCCTTTTCCTCTAATGGAGGTGAGAATGTGGGAGAACCAGAGAATAAATTAAATACAGAAAAGCCAGGCTCTCATAACATGGTGAGAGAAAAAGAGAGAGAGAGTGAGAGAGAGTGAGCGAGCGCTATGTAGGCTCTCCTGCCTGGAGACAGTCTGAAATGGAGATCCCAAGACGAAAGGCACAGGAAGGTAAGACCGGGAAATGGGGATTTTGAACCCAGAGACTTGTTGGGAGGGACTGGCCCAGGATTTGACTATCTCAGCCTCAAGCCTCCTTCTCTGCTCTGTTAAGCTACTGTCAGGGGCTCTGAGCAGGCTGCCATCATAAATAAATGTCTAGTGTACTGATCGTGTACCTGATCTTTCCATGAGAAGCAAGAAGACTGGGGTTGGGGGTGAAGACAGCTGAGCCACCAAACTACTTCAGAGGCCCAGGGGAGCTAAAGAAAAAGGGCCAATTCTGAGTATTATGGATACTTGGGAGAGGTTAGGTTAGCACTGTTGGCATGGTCAGGGAAGTCTTCGTGGGGGAGGCTGCATTTGAATTGGGGCCTAGAGGCTGTAGAAGCATTTGGACTGGCAGAGAGAAGGGAAGTCAGGCTGACTGGGATTTCTGGGGGGCAGACTCCACTGTGGCAGAATCCCCCAGAAGAATCTCTCATAAGGGGAGCTTGGAAAAGCAGAAGTGTGTGGGTGTGAATGTTGGGGGTGGGGAAGCTGCCTCCATTGGAGGAGCTCAGTTGAGAGTCCAGAGGTTGGGCTCTCTACTCCCCCAGACCTTCACAGCAGTTCTAGCCCAGAGCTGGCCCACTTGGCCCTGGCATGGCTCATTAAGCTGTTTACAACATGCTGCCCTGGCTCCTGAGCCCTGCCTCCAGAGGCTGTTCTGGGCTCTCCCATGGAAACGTATCACAGCACATTCACATCAACAGATTTCAATTACAGGGAGCCCCACCAATCCCAGTCCTATCTGCCTTGCGCCCTGGGGCTTTCTGAGGCCCTGGGCCTTGTTGGGCTGCCACACACCAGAGAACAGGCAGGGCAGCTCTCCTCTGATGGGCTTTGTCATTAGTTAGGCAGGAAAAACAGATGACACAGAACAGAGCCAGAGAAGTGAGGTCTCCTGAGGGCTTCTGACTGCCTCGCAGACCATCTCCACATGTCTAGCCTCTGGGTGGGGTCTCTGACTGCAGAAAAGCCCACAAGTCTGGGAACTGCTGTGCACCCTCTTTTTAGCCTCGGTGACCCTGGGCAGGTGCCCCGGCTCCTGCTTGCTACTGTACTAAACCAGGTGATCCCTAGACAGCCACCTGCAGCTGTAGCAGGAGCCCCATGGCACAGGGCCCTCCCACTGTCTTGATCCTCTCCCTTCAGCCCTGGCTGCCAGGACCTGGTGGTACCCACACCCATTTTAACCTCACCTGGCCAGGGCTGGATGAGCACTCACTATTCCTAGATTTTCCTTTGAATTTCTATCGTGTAGGTCATTGCTCAGAATCTTGCTACACCCTCTTTGATTCCTGTCCACTCCTTTACTCTTCCTTCCTCCCTTCTGAATTTCCCTCTTGTCTCTTCTTCCTCTCTGCCAACTTCCTGACCTCTTCTCTTGCCTGTTTATCTCAGTTTTCTTCCTCTTTCCTCCATCTCTCTCCACCCCCTCTTCCCTTTGTGTGTGTGTGTGTTTTAGCAAGCTACAAATGGAAAACATCTGTTCCCTAAAGCTTTGCAAGAGTCCCTTTCACTATTATTATTATTATTATTATTATTATTAGTTTTTGCTATAGGGCATGTTCACTCACTGGAGACAGAGAGAAAGAGAGAGAGAGAGGGAAATCACCCTCCTGGGGGGGGGGGGGGGGGCCCACTCCTGGGGGGGGGGGGATGGTCACACTGTAATATCTTCTCTTCCATTCTTTAGGGATTTGGGACACACATGCACATGCACCCAGCCAGTTTTTCAAGCCACTAATTCCAGGTCTCGAACCACACAGCTGGTCATGTGGGATTGAGCCTCTTCAACCGCCACACTACTGGATAGCCTGACCCTTTTTATTATCTTTTCTGAGGCATCTTAGTCTAACCTTGGATACAAAGTAGGTCCAATCTTCCTTCCACTCCTGCCAAAGCTGAGGCTCTCCCATTCCAAGGCTGGGGGATGGGCTCACTCCCCCAAGATTATCTCCACACTCCTTTTGCAGAGAGAGCTTTGCCATGAATAACAGGGTTACAGAGAGGTTAAGGCCATCTTTAAGACCATTTAGGGCCTCAATAGGTGAGCTAGACTTTCTTCAGAGATCCCCTCTGGGACTTCAGAAAAGGGAGGAAGCCATTCAGACTCAGAGATACCCCTCACCCCCAGGGCAGGAGAGAGAGAGATAGGTTAGACTATAACAGGAATCCATTGTAGGCTAGCCTTCACCCTCATGAGAACAGTTTCAGTGGCCCCAAAGGAAGGATCCCTCCCATGGAACTGACCCTCGGGACATGGACTATCAGAATAAAAGAGGAAGGTAGGGTGAGGATGAGGGAGGAACAAGGGAGAAAGCCAAGGGTCCAGAATGGAGAACAACACAGAGGTCTGAAGGCATTTCTCAGGGTGATATAAGCCCTTGCACCCCTGGGACACAGCACAAGGAATCAGGGGCTACCAGGGTAAGACCTCTTGTTCTGGGAGTGGCCTTCTGGCTGACTCAGAAAGCTTGGAGGAGGGAAGAAGGAAAGCCAAGCAAGGGAAGAGGAGGGTGTGAGAAGGCAGGAGGGAGTGGAGAAGGGGACCCAGGAAAAGGAGGAGAATGAAGGAAGTCAAGTAAAGGAACAAAGAGGAAAGAGAACTAGAGTCTAGAGGAGCATGTAGGACCAATGGTGACAACTACCCTTTCCCTAGACTAGAATTTTATAATAAACATAAGCTCTAGTCACAGCTCTAGCTGCCCACCCCAGCTCTCTAGCCTACCCAGCCACTACTAGGATTGTTTTCACCTGCAGGATAGGGCACAGTGCCCAGGCAGCTTGAAAATGGCATTTGGGAGCTAAGACTCAACTTAGGCCAGCTTCCCTTCAAACCATCAAAAGCTGAGAGCGTCCGTGAGACCCTGGACCTCCAGGGCAGGGAACTCTCCCTAAGTCCAGCTTCCTCTCTGGCAAGCTGCCAGCATCCAGGACATGAGCTGCAGTGAGAGAGAAGGGAGAGAGGAGGCTTTTGCTTTTCTGGAAACCTCTTTTTTGTTTTTTAGAGAGATCTTTGCTATAGGGCACGTGTACTCACCAGAGAGACAGAAATTGAGAAATTACCCCCCAGGGGGGATGATCACACCACTCTCCTTTCTCCTCCATTCTACTCTCAGGATTTGGAGCACACACTCACATGCATCTGCCGTGAGTTTTAAACCGCTGGGTCCAGGACTCGAACCATGGTTGATTATATGGGAGTCTAGCAATGTAACCATTATGCCATCTGCTGGTTCTGCTTTTCCAGAAACCTCTTGACAATCAGGATCCTGGAGCATCGATAGAACTTAAAAGTCCCTCCCATTCTTACACAGACCATTGCCCAAGAGTCAACATCCCTGCAACTCAAGTCATTTCCCAACCAAAGAGTGGATTCAGAATGAAACTTGCTGCTAAAACAGATTGAGATGCAATTTATCTCGAACCAAACGAATGAGATGAGCTCATTCCATAATGATAAAGAATTTTTCCTCCATCCTAAAAATTAGCTGCAGCTGGTGGAATCATTAGGTAGGCTGGTAAGGGTAAGGATGCTGATGACAATATTCTTAGCTTGGTTTGGGTGGGCGGTAATCTAGGAAGAAGTCAATGCCTTGGTGATCTGGTCCTGCCAGCCTATATTTAGTAGATGGCTTGCTGGTGATAATGGCAGCCAGGCAAGGGGAGAGAGCTCCTGGTTTGGAGATTGCTCCAGAATTTTCTCATACTCCGAATAAAAGACCTGTTCCTTTCCTGGCCCTGGTGTCCACACATCGCCTAGTCTTCCCCTTCTCCGATAATGACTAATTCCCTGATTTTGAATGGGACATACGAACACTCAGAATAATGACATTTACCAGTGTCCTTTATAGTTAGGGGTAGTCAAATAACTAAATTCTGGCCAATGAATTACAAGAGGAAGTGATGTTGTGCATATTCCAGGATATGTCCTTACAGGGAGTGGATGTGCCTGCCTTCCCCTCTTTCTCATTTATTTCATGCTTTGGAATATGAATGTGGCAGGGGGTCATCTTGGACAAGAGTGATACCCTAGGGACAGCAGAATTGTCATCCTAGTCAAGGCTATCTCTTTGGATTGTACAGGAGAAAGAAATAAGCATCTACCTATATAGGCCACTGCTATTTTAGATCTGTTACATGCAACCAAACCTATTTCCAAATATTACACCATGCAACCCTTATCTAGCATCACATTCAAATCATTCAGATATTATTCTCAGAGTTCTACTCTTTGGGGTGAATATCGGGATAATGTACAAAGAAAGGCTAGTGTGCAACTTATCAAAGAGTTTGAGTTTATAGTGACATTCCCAAGTCTAACCACAGGTTTCAGGAAGGCCTTGAACTTTACTTGGAGTTGCCAGAACATGCTAGCACCTCTAGCTAAAGTAGCTGAGAAATGCAAAGCTTATGACCTGCAAAAACATTTTCATTTGCTGATGGTAGGAAGCTAGGCAAATTGTTAAGACAAAAGCCTTGGGAACTCCAGAGCAGGCAATCCACACTCTGGAATTTGATCACTGTATTACTGACACCCTCCTTGAAGGTGATAAAACTCCCACATTGCTACCCCAGGCACATGTGGGGCTAGGGCTCCTTTCTGTCCCTGGGAAGTTGTCACGGGTCTATGACTTAGAAAAAGATGGGAATCTTTGCCTAAGAGGAAGCCTAGTTTATTATTCCCCTGGATTTCTTAACATCCCTCTCCCTACTTAAGATCCAACAAGCTGACTATAGAGCACAGGCCCCCACTTCACTAGCATCCTAAGGACCCTGAGATGCTAAGTGGGGCAATATTTGCATTACGAAAACGCTCCTATGTCTAGTCTTTCAGTGAATCCTGGTCCAATTTCTTTTTTTCTCAGATTTGGAATCTATGCTGGTGTGAATGGGGGCGTGCTGCATACTAATGTGTCCATATGTGAAAAACATGCAAGGGAAACCGTAGATCCTGTTAGCAAGCACATTCTGACTTTCAAATATGCACGTCCTAGGAAAGGATCATCTGCTTTGGATTTCTACTCCATTGCCCGTGGGACTTAAAGCACCATTTCCTCCCTGGCGGGAGGAAGCAGATAGAAGGATGAAGAGAAAAAGTGATGAAGTATTCCTAGGCCCGAGCTTCACCTGGGCAGTGCTTGACCAAGGGAGCATGTTGGCCTCAGGCATTTTCAGAATTCTACTTATTCTGCTATCTTTCTCTTCACTCTCTGTGGCTGCCATTTTATCTCAGTCAGGCACTCAGCATACCCAGCCTTGATTCTCTCTCTCTCTTCACGCTAATTCACCCCTCACGCCAATTTTCAAACATGCTAGTGAGTCACTCCTTGGCATTCCTAAGCTAGCATTAGGAGCCTCACTGTCTGTGGTGCCACACGACCTCCATTTCTAACAGCCATGATGGGTGCAACAGCAGCCAAGCAGCGTTTGCTGAGCACCTACCATGTGCCACACCAACTGCCTCATACACTAGCTTGTTTTAGATCAGTACTGGCCTGCAGTGAGCTGGCATCAGAACCTAGATCCAAATGCCTCTGGAGCCAGGGATTTCTAAAGTCTGCCTCCCCAGCACTAACTACCCTTTAAGTTCCACAGTGGCACTGAGTGAGGGATTGTCACCGGCAAGAGAACTTTGATGTTGTCAGCCCTCCCTCCACCTTCCAAGAGCTCAACCCCCAGGTCTCTCTTGCTTGGGGCCTGCACACCTCATCTCTTCTCTAGCTACTACTCACTGAGCTCTCCAGGGTTTGAAATGCTGCAGGGTTTGAAGCCTGTTTTTAAGACTAAGAAGACTATCCATCCACGAGGCCTCTCATAACCTCAAATCCTCTCATGTTTGCATTTGCTGCCAGAAAACCTCTCCCACACAGGGAGGCAGGCACTGTCCCCATTGGGCAGAGAAGGAAACCCATAGCCAGATAGATTAAGTGACTTGCCTGAGGCAAGCAAAAAACAAAGAGCCGGAACTAGAGCTCCAGGTTTCCAAGCCCCAGGCCTTTCTACTAGTACTCGGTAGCCCACACGGGACTTGTCAGGAATCCTCACCTCCCCACACTCCCTTCTTCTAGACAGTAAAGGCCTCTGAGAGCCTGGGTGGCCGGTAGGCAGGCAGGTGGGAATCACCAGGGAACAATGGCACTCACCAGCCTGGAGCCAGATCCGTTCCAGTGTGGTCCACAGTTGCATGGGACCTTGCTTCAAGACTGCAGTAGGCATGTTCAGCTCAGACATGGCCTCCTCCAGCCGGGAGGCTGCAATGGATGATGCCTGCCGAGAGCCTGCAGAGCAAGAGATTCAGGGCTGAGCAGAGTGTTGTGTGGTGCAGGCCCCAGTAATAGCAACTGCCCAGGTCCTTGCCAGAGAGACAGGGTACCCTGAGTCAGGGCAGCATGGTGTGGCCTGGCAGCGGTATAACAGCTCACAGGGCCCAGCCATGGTGGCATAGGAAGTAGGATGTAGTTGTACAATACTGGAGCCATATGGGGAGGCCCAGGGATTTGGATTCCAGCTTGACCTGGACATGCCTATTGTCCTAGATGGCGAGATTGTGGCATGGTGAGGTCCTGTTAAGGGCAACTATCTCTTTTTTGCTGTCTCTCTTTGAAAGAAAAAGGAAGAAACAAAGAAGGAAAGGAGGAAGAAAGAAAAGGAAAGGAAAGGAAGGAAAGATAGAGAAAGAAACTTAAAAACCAGCTTATAGACCAATTAGTGAGGGCCTACCTCTAGCTGTCATCCACAGGTGGGGAAAGACATTTTTTTTTTTTTTAAATTGCCAGTGGGTACGTGTACTCACCAGAAAGAGACAGAGAGACAGAGAGAGGAGAAAGCACTCTCCAATGGGGTGCTGTCATGCTGTTGGGATACTAGGCATATACACACACACGGGCCTGGAGTGTTTTTCAAGCTGCCAGGGCCAGGATTCGGTTGGCCATGTGGGGACTGGGTCCTTGAACTGCTAGGCTATGGGGCCAACCTGAGAGGAACCTTTTGTGGGACAATCAGGCAGAGTTCCACTAGGAATCTCTAAGGAAAACAATCATAAATGTTAGCAAAGACACTTATTCTACTACTGCCTGTAATACGAAAACCAGAGAAATTACCTGAGTGTCTGGCAAGACGGACTGATAAAAGTAAGTGAAGAAGGGGCTGAAAGATGGCATAGCAGTTACAATACTGGACTCCCACGAGGCCAACCACAGTTTGAGTCCCTGACCCAGTGGCTTGAAACTCACGCTGTCTCTCTGTCGTGCATGCCCAAGATCCAAGGAGAAGGGATTGTGGTGTGGTCATCACCCCAGGGGGTGATTTCTCACTTTCTCTCTCACTATCTCTATCTGTCTATCTCTCCCTGGTGAGCACATGCAATCTAAGGCAAAATCCCCTAAAGAGAAAAGTGAAGGTATGATCATCCAAGACACTAGTTATTAAGATTACGACATGTATGGAACCAGCAGATGCTTACATCCAGTAATGGTTATGTTAATTATTAAAGTAACAACATGGGACTAACAGATGGTTACATCCAGTAATGATTATATTGCTGGACTCCCATGTAGTTGACTGAGGTTCGAGTCCTGGACCCAGCAGCTATAAATTTATATCGGTATGCGTGCATGTGTACCCAATATCCCAAGAAGAGAATGGAGTAGAAAGGATCGTGGTGTGGCCATCCCTCCTGGGGGGGGGGGGGCTTCTCATTTTCTGTCTCTCTGTCAAGAACATGTGCCCTATAGCAAAATCTCTAAAAACAAACAAACGAACAAACAAACAAACAAAAACCCAACAACATATCAATACAGATTCTGATGTGGAAAGATGTTAACATTATATAATTAGGTGAAAAAAGGCAAGTTACAAAAGAATATTGGGGCAGGCAGGCATGGTGGCTAAGGTATTGGATTCCTACATGGCTGATGGTAGTTTGGGTCCTGGACCTGGAGACTTGCTTTCTCACTTTCCCTTTCTCTGTCTCCCTCAGGTCAAATTAAAAACAAACAAACAAACAAACAAACAAACAAATGATTCTTTTAAAAAGAATTTAAAAAGTCACATTTTTATAAAAAGAATATGAACATGGAAAAATGTCTGAAAGATTATTTATTAAGGTCTGGGTGGTAAAATAATAGATGTGTTTTCTTTCCTTCCTGTTTCTATTTTTATTTTCTGTTTTCACTAAGTGCATATTATTACTCCATATGTATAAAGGTCTCATTCAACTCTGTGCTGTGAAGGAGGATCCTTGGACTGCAGCTTGAGCTGGACTTTTATCCTCTGGAGAACCGCTCCCTGTGGCAGTTCTGGGTGACAGGGCCCCTGTTCAGGATATATAAGCTGTTGACATTTATAATTCCCACACAGGTGAAATGAGAGTGCTTTCTCTTTCTCTCTCTCACTCTCTCAGAGGCAATAAAGCCTCCAATAAACTTAGGAGACCTCAGGGCAAACCACAGATGATCTCAATTTGCAAGACAAGTATACACAGAGTCCTAATAACTTTGTTCATGATTCTTCCCTCTTTAATTACAAGGAAGCTACCTCCCCTTAACCATTCCCTCCCTGGAGACTCAGCTCCACGTACAACCAAGCACCCCTGAAGCGTACCTCTAAAGGCAGGTGCCAGATTTCACTTCTGAAATGAACTCCATTACTTGACAACAAAGGTGCAACTTGCCTCTTATCCACAACAGTAAAGAAAATGAGCAATTTCATCAAATACAACTCCACTCACACTTTCGTTCCCATGACTGATTGTTCTTGTATTTTTGAGGAAGGTGTTCTGCTTTAATCAGATCCTCAGATAAAAAAACCATTATGTTGGATTTTATAAGCCATAGGTTTCAGGATGACTTTTTCAGGAGAGTCAGCCTTAAATTTAGAACTATAAATATTGGTCATCAGGAAAGTGATGACGTGTTTTTCTTTGCAAAAATGCATCACGACTTTTCTTGACGACTCAATGGCTCAACCCATTCCTTTCTATTTGACCAGAAATACTAAGGACATCAGGCAGACGTGGGTCTCTAGCTTTAGCCTAAAGGGGAACAGAATCTGTGTTTCATAGCCATCTTCCCAAACTGGGCTCTTCTTTCCACCTCTGCCCTTGCCTACTCCAGCTGCCCACCAGTCACCCCAGGGCCAGCAGCCAGAGCCAAAATCAGCCCTAAAAGATGCCCAAGGGTAGCTCTTTGGCACCAAAGCCCTTGGGAAGCAACCAGCAAGGAGCAGTGGTAGAAGTGGCCAGGCTGGGCAGATAATACTCTCTCCATTTGTACCACTGGGCTAAGAAAGCCAGTTAGTGGCCCACATGGTCAGCTGCCCATGGGGCATATTCTTACCAGAGTCTGCATCGTGAGCATCAGGTAGAGTCAGGTGCATGCCACTTTGCTTCTTCATTGTGAGGCCCTCGCCGAGGCTGCCATCCTTTTCCAGGCCTCTGCAAGGCAAGGGAGGGCCAGGGCTGGGTAAGACAGAGGGCCTCAATCCAGGCAGCCTCTGGGGTTGAGAGTTCAGAGCCAAAATCCAGACTACTAAAGTCAAGGCCAAGAGACAACCAGAGCAGCAGGACAGATTTCACAGGCTGACATAAAACTCACCCATATCCTCTACTTCTTCTACTGATGTGAGTGAAGCCAGAAGCTTGCCTAGGCCAAGGTGAGGTTTTTTTCCTACTTTTTTTTTTACTTTATTTTTTTGTTGCATAGAGTAGGGTTGGTAGAATGGCTTCCAAGGATAATATAGTCTTTGCAGGGTATGATCCTAGGCTGATCCCTAGGAAAGGAAGACCCAGATGCTATTTGTTGACCTTGGCTGCCAGGGTGGCTCCAGAGGAGCCAACAGGGGTGGATGGCAAATAAGTAAGCATGGCGATCCCATCTTGCCCCTCCTACCCTGAATTTCCCAAATCCCTGCAGCTTCTATACTGCTAGAAGTATTTTTCTCAGAGTGGGAGGTGTGGAAGATATAGGAAGGAGCCACCAGCACAGCCTGTTGTGGCTATCCTGGGGCATAATTAGACCCCAGTCTTAGTGTGGGGCTGGCCCAGGCAGATCAGAAGAAGCAGGTCTGCCAGGGAGTGTAGCAGGAGGTAGGGCCAGGTAGGTAGGTGGAGTGGGGTAGGCCAGACCTTCAGGCTGTGGATTCCGGACTTGATCTTTGGCTTCCATAAACTAGATTTTATAAACCCTGGGTTTTGATCTGTGGCTCCAGGTTCAGAAAAGAACTTTCTCTCCTAGGAAAACCATCAGGGTAATGGAGCTAGGCTTTTTGTTCTGGTAGTTGGCCTGGCAGAGTCCTGTGCTCCGTGCGAGAGGAGAGGTCGGAGAACTGCGGGAGGTTCCCCAGGAGAGGTACCTAGGAATCTCCTATTGTGAAGAACTCCACAGGACTCTCAGATTAGAAATGGAGTGTGTGGGTGGTGACCAGAAGCAACCTCAAGGCAAACTCCACTGCCCCTGGCCCTCTGCTGCTATGGGGGAGGCACATCCAATACACCGGAGACAAGGGTGCAGCTCAGAGGAGCCTCACCACTACTGACCAGACAACAGCCATCTATCAATAGATACGGATGAAGATAAGGAGTAGCCAGCTCTGGGGGCAGCTTCTCTACAGAAGGAAAGTCAGGCTGTGTCTTGCTCAGCTGCCATAGACAGTGAATGGGACAGTGACAGACATCTGAATTCAGATTTCCCTCACACCAGAGCCTGGTACCCATATCACCCAACTGCCAGGTGGCTTCCAATTCCCTTTCTAAAAAGTCCCAGAGCTTCCTTTTGGCAACTTTCCCCACTGGTCTTGTTCTACCCTTGAATCTTCCCTACTTAATGGCCTGCAAAGAGAGCAGCTCTGCCCGAGGTTTTATACTCCATCTGAACACCCTGAGGCCTCCTCTGAAAGCCTCCTGGGCTCCCAAAGTACCTGTGAAAATGAAAAATAATCACCCAAGTTGGGAAGATGACACAACCATCAGGTCCCAGATAAGGGGAAGGGGTGCGGACCACAGTACTAGGAAGAGGCAATACACATGCCTCAAAAGCACAGCTCTCCACCCCTATTCCTTCTGGGATGCACTGGCTGAGCTCAGGTGTCCCACGGGGTTTGAGCAAAGAGACCTGCTACAGCCCACACAAGAGTGCCCTGTTCCAATACAGGAAAAACCCAGAGCCCAGGCCAGGGACTATAGCAGGAGGCAGGATGTGCAGAATGTGGTAGGTCCCTTTGGGACTCCCCACCACCCTTCCCTGCCCTCCACTTCTAGCTTCCAAAGAGAACAAGGAAAGAAATAGCAGGATCCATGGCTGGCACTCAGGAGACCCAGGTTCAAGTCCCAGCACTACCACTTACCACTACCACTAAGTGTACAACGTCTATGAGTCTGTTCACTCACTGGGTTGAGAATAAAAATCTAGTAATGTATAATGCACAAGATACATGCAGCTAATGTGTAAGAGCAGTTAGCTCAGCACCTGACTCAGGCGCTCAGTAACTATGTCCCTTCTTATGCCCTGAACTTCAATTTCCTAAGAAGAATCTTCATGTACTTCACAGAAGATTGTCAAGAGATTAAAAGTGGACCAAATATACAATACAACAAGAGTGATAAATTCTATACTCTCATTCAGACATCCTTACTGCCCCCATCTTGCCAGGCATGGTGGCACTCAGTTGTAGACTGTTGCCCTGGCAACCACCACCTGCCAACTGTGCCCTCCACCCAAGCGATAACTACAGCCACTCACCCCAGCTGGGAGAAGCTGTACAGGGTCTGCCATAGCCTCAGCATTTGTCTGCAGGTCACAAGGGCTTCTTCTGGGCCTTTCAGGACTTGCTCCAGCTTCACCTTGGTGAACATCAGGCTGCAGGAAAGAAGAGTGGTCAGCACCACCCAGCCATGACCCACTTCCTACGAGATTTCCTCTGAGGTTGAGAGCCCGAGGAGCTCATCCCACCAGGGAAGTCCTTATGTTCCACATCTACAGCCCATAGAAGCCAGAGTATCTGCAAGTGTGGCAGCTCTGTCGTACCCTGATCACTTGCTCACTCTGGGCCTCAGCATCTCCTCGTCTTTTGCTAACTTAAAAGCAAGAAGCACTCTTCAGCATGTGTCTGTTGCTCATACTGCTCATTCCACTTGTGCCCTGATGATATACCTAGCATCTTACCCATCCTGTGAAGCACTGTGTTGGGGCTCAGGACACACCACCCCAAACTATGAACACAGGAGACCAGAACATGCCACCACAAATATACTTCTTGGGCATATTTTAACCTGGTCATTCTGAGAAGCTGCAGATACAGGAGTAGCTCTGAAAAGCTGCCATTTTGTAAAAGAAAAACACATTTTTTTTAAAGGTTGTTGCCATAGGGCGAATATGCTCACCAGAGAGAGAGAGAGAGAGAGAGAGAAATCACTCCCAGAGGGGATGGCCATGCTGCATCCCTTCTTCACTCTCCTGGGATCTTGAGCACACACATATATGTGCCTGGTGTGATTTTCAAGCCACCAAGTCTGGGATTCAAACCATGGTTGGCCATGTAGGAGTCCAGTGCCTTAACCACCATGCCTCTTCCTGGCCTCAAGAAATACACATTTATAAAGAAAACCTACATTAGTATAAATAACTACATCAGGAAGATGGCTGCTCAACATTAGTTAATTAATTAATTAATTTGAGTTTTGCTATAGGGTATGCGTACTCTCCAGAGAGAGAGTGAAAAAGAAATCACAACCCCAAGAGGGCGGTGGCCATGCTGCAGTCTCTTCTCCTCCATTCTCCTCTGGGACTTTGGGCATGCATGCACATGTGCCCAGAGTGCTTTTCAAGCCCTTGAATCTGGGATTTGAACCATGGTCAACCATGTGGGAATCCAGTGCTTAACCACCATAACACCCATTGGCCCCTATTACTGAGTTTTTATCTACATAACAAGACAAACTTTATTCACCATACATTCTCTCCCTTCATCCTTCCAAGACTTGTCCTCACCTACCCCAGGTACCCCAGTCCCTTTATGTAGCTTACAATGCTATATAAGTTTCAAGCATCTGGTCCTTTTTTAGAATCTCTTGTTTTGTAGGAGTCCATGCATAAGTAAGTAACTAAATATGTTTTTTTCTCCTGTTAATCTGTCTTATGTCAGTTTAGTTTACAGCCCAGCCAAAGAACCTAGGAAGATAGAGGGAAGCTATTCCTTCCTCCCCTATACCACATCGCCCATCTTCCAAGGCACCGTCAAATATGACTACTCTACTCTTCCTACCCACATCCTCAGCAAAGCAATATACTCATTCACAATGTGGCCATGCCTTAGACTTACATACTGCTCAGGGCTTACGACAGGGCCTTGGATAAGAGACACACACGGGAACCAATTTTGAATCAGTGAGTGATGCTAAACAAGGAATTGGTAAAGAAGGTCACCTAAAGGGCAGACATTTGCTTTCTTTCTTGCCAGCACACAATAGGTATTCAATTAATAGCTAAAAGAAACTGGAAACTTTGTTTTCTGACACTGGACAAAGATGGCAGGTCACGTCACACTTTATCAAAGGATTTTTCTTTGAATTTCCTAAAATAGCCAGCATCCCTAAATATAGGATTATATAATAGGATTAAAGCAACACGAAATCCTGTCTAATCACCATTTAGGAACACTTGCTGGGCAACAAGAGTGGGCAACTTAAGGATTTCTTTCAACCTGAAAAACCTGAAGTCCTATAAGAATTGTGTGGGGATAAGGCCTTTGGAGTGCTTGGGAAGAGAGAAAGGGGTGGTCCCAGGTGGAAGAGGACCACAGGAGGGGTGGATAACATTTCACCAAAAACTAGGGTGGGGTGCTGGAGGCCTCACTGTGCCAGGTATTAGCCCTTATGTTGTTGGGGAGGTCTGGGACCCTGGAGGAGGAGTTTGGGCAGTGGCTACTTACTATCTGGTATGGAAGCAATATTTTACTACAGGCACTGCCAGCAATACTGATGCATACCAGCTGCCTGGGCAGCCTGTGAAGAGTTGGCTGGGCCACTGAGGCCCAAACAAGGCAGTGACTTCTTGTTCTGAGTGTGAGCAGTAAGGCCGTTTTAGTCAGAACATCACTGCTAAGCAAATCATCGTGACTATTAGGACCTGGTCTTGACCTCTGCCTGGTGGTTTTGCCAGTCCACCCAAAGCTGGCACGCAGGCCTCACAGAAGCTGAGTTTTGCATCTAAGGGCCCCTACTGGGGCCAAAGATGGGGGCAGGCCCCACCCAAGGAGGCCAGCCTCTATCTACAACCTGTCCCTCTGACCTCCCCTGCTAGGTGTCTGGCCATAGTCTTCTCTATACTGAAACGTGGGACTTCAGCCTCAATAAGACTTCATATTTTTCCTTAGCATCCCTCTCTCTCTCTCTCTCTCTTTTTTTTTTTTTGAGAGGTTTTTGCTATAGGGCGTGTACGCTTACCAGACAGACAGAGACAGACAGAGAGACAGAAAGCGAGAAATCACCCCCCCCAATCCCTTCTCCTCCATTTTCCTCTCGGGATCTTGGACACGCACACACATGTGCCTGGCGTGAGTTTTAAGCCACCGGGTCCTGGACTCGAACCGTGGTAGACTATGTGGGAGTCCAGCGACTTAGCCATTATGCTAACTGCTGGTCCTGCACCTCTCTTTTTATACCTGTTTCTCTTAGATTATGATTTGTTTGGGGAATGAAGAAGGTAGACTTTGCCTCAGTCTTCTTTTTAGAAGAGGTTTGGGTTCTTGGCAAGTCTATTTTTTATTTTTTATTTTTTTGCTACAGGCTGTGTGTGCTTGTTGTTGGGGATGGAACAAGAAAGCACACCCCAGAGAGGACAGCCACACCACAATCCCTTCTCCATTCTCCTCTTGGGATTTTGGGCGCACACACACACACACACAGACTAGGTGTCTCAAGCTACCGAGTCCAGGACTCAGCTGCTCAGTTGGCCATATGGGAATCAGTTGCTTTAACCACTATGCCATTTGTTGGCCCAGGACAAGTCTGTTTTTCTTTCTCACTTTTCCTCAAAAATGTCTTCCCTGATCCTGCACAGGCCTCTCCCCTCCATTTTTTTTTTTTTTTTGAGAGGTTTTTGCTATAGGGTGCATGCACTTGCCAGAAAGACAGAGAGAGGAGAGAGAGAGAAAGAGAGAGAGAGAGAGAGAGAGAAATCACCTCCCAGAGGGGATGGCCATGCCACAATCCCTTCTCCTCCATTCTCCTCTTGGACACACATGCACATGCGCCTGGCGTGAGTTTAAGCCACTGGGTCCGGGACTCGAACCACGGTCAACTACATGGGAGTCCAGCGACATAGCCATTATGTTAACTACTGGTCCCTCTCCCCTCCATTTTTCATCCATATTCTAAGACTGACTTGAATCCTCCAACTCTTAGGACACCCTGAAGCTTTCCAGAGACATCGAGTAGTGACTGGCCTATAAGGTCTAAGGGGCAGAAACTAGAGTCTCCACAGTGTGTGCCACATAGGCCTGGGTGTAAAGCTAGTGCAAGGTACAACCTGGTGGGCAATTGCTGGGGATAGCTGGCCCTGCCACCCTTATTCTTTTCTCAAATTCTCAAGGGGTCTAACACTCTGCAAATATTATGAGCCTCTGCTTTAGGGAATATGAGTAGAACTCACAATTCTGACTTCAAGGTAGCAATTGAAGTATGATCAATGACAAATTGGTCAGAGAATCAGCTGTTATATTTTTGGATAAGACTCAGTGCAAGAAAAGAATAGGGGTGAGATGTGGTTGAGAGTGGGGAGAGAGGAGAAACTTGGAGTGGTGGAGGTGGGGGAGAAGCCAGTTGTAGTAGCAGGTGTGGGTGAGGCAAGATAGCCTCTCCCAGTTCAAGCCCACTCCAGGGCTGCCCTTCTCATCAGGCAGCTGGAGCAGTACAGTCCCCTGGGCTAATTCCCCAGAGAGGAGCAGACCAGCCCTGCAGCATTCCCAGAGGCCTCTCTTCTACATATGCTTCTCTCCCCCTCCCACTGCTGTTCTCAGCAGCCCTGAGCCAGATGGGCCCACGGCAGAACTGACCATACCACATGCCTGGAACAGAAGTGACTGAAAGCTGAGCTGGCATTGCAGTAACTTCTACCAATACAGGCTGTATCGTTGTGGCTGCTGACATTCCATTAGCATGAGTGACCCAGAGCAGAATTTCTCAACCCAACCACATCCTTTCTGGGCTGAGGCAATTGCTCCAACAGTCGCTTTCTGGTCTGATCCTTTGCTCTCAGATCCTGGGAGGCTCCAGATTAACTCCTGAGATTTCCTTGGTCTGGCAGTTGAACACTGCCAGAAAGATCTCCACAAAAAGTCTTGCCCCTACTGTGCATGCCATCAATCCAAGGCCTTCCCCCTCTGGCTCTGCCTTCCATTCCTGCCACACTTCCCATGACCTTGGGCATTCCTACATGGAGCACATGGGTCTTAGCAGCTCCCTGTACCTGTGGGACAGGTTCTGGGCCCATCCTTAGTTTCACATTATGCTCTCTGTGGGGACTGGCCCTCTCCCCTAGGACATCTGGCCCACCCCTGACTATCTGTGTCCCTGCAGTGGCTCTATTCCCCATCCTCTCCAGAACAGCCTTCCCACAGTGGGTCTAGACGTGGTCATCTACACATCTGTTGGCTTGTCTCTCACTGCTGAATGTTCTCCCTGGTCAGAAAAGCCCCCATCCTGTCAGAAAATAGGGCTCCCTCTCCATCCCTATCCACTGGGATAGGTGGCTGCTGTCCACTACACACTCTTGGCACAGTTCTTCAGGACTATAAAAGGCTGACAGAGCCCTCTCATGCCACCGAAGCTGGTGGGTGGTACTTTTAGTTCCATATACCC